CCCCCCTCGCCCCTCCCTCTGCGCGACCGCTGCATCCGGCGCAAGCGCGATTTTTGGCTACTTAGGCCTAGCCCCGACGAAGCCAGTGTTTGAGACTACATGGAGGTTGAGTGAGTGGAGTGCCGGGCTGGTCGGGAAGTGCACCAACACCCAGGCAGTAGGGACTTTAACCAGGGAGAGTGAGATTCGTTCCATTTCCAAAGCTGCTGTAGAGTGGGTGACTGTTGCAGTCCCTGAGAGGCTGGCTCGAATCTGACCAGCAGGGAATCTCCATCTTTGACTACAGTGTTGGCAAGGGGTAGGGAAGGGAGGCCTACATGATGAGAAACTCATAGATTACTGAAGCCCATAAAACTCTCACCTAAAGTGCTTCAGAGAGAAGTGTCTCTTCTGGTCAGGTCAGGGTGGTTCTGAGGAGGCTTTAAAGGAGGGGTGGTGGGCATTTGAGCAAAGCCCATTAAGGAAGGATGGGCCAATTTTAGCATGTAATTTTACCATTGCTGGACACAATATCCAACACCTACAATTTAAAGGAGGAGAGGTTTAATTTGGCTCACATTTTAAGGGGGTTCAGTCCAAGGTCAGCTGGCTTTGAGGTAGAAATGTCATGGCAGAAGGGCACGGTGGTGTCTGGGAACCAGAGCAGGGGAAGAGTGCCAGAGAGAAAGAGGTGGGGGAGCAAACAGCCCAAGCATGCCTCCACAGACCACCCAGACACACGCGGAAGTGTGTTCCACCAATCCCCCGGGTGGCTCAGAAAACCAATCAAGTGGACATCCTAAATGCCACAAAACCCCTACAGTCCTTGGAAGAGCTTCTGAAATGATGCTGGGCTTAGGAGAATAAAAGGCCCATATTTATAATAATATCAACAACGGGAGAGGGGGAGGGAGAGGATCTGTGAGCTGACTGCAGGAGAGGGAGAGTCCAGAGTGGCTCTGAGGGTCCCTGCCTGGCCTCCACAGCATGATCACTAATCTCTGAGGTTACTACTTCTCTGGCCAAGGTGTGGAAGATCACATTTGGCCATTACTTCAGTAAAAGCAAAATTAAGACTTTTTAAAGGATATTTTGCTAAGAGAAGAAAGGGGGAAAGAGCAATCACATACGGTCAGACAAATTTATAACTCCTGGGATTCTCCTCTGAAGATAATGCAAATTACCTTGAGGTAGAAGACTAACACTTTACTGAGAGCTTGTGACATGCCAGGCAATAGTCTGCATGTTGTATACATGTTCACTAATTTATTCCAATTTAAGCTTCACACAATTTTGTAAAGTAGGTGTTATGCCCATTTATAGAAACCGGTCTGGATGATCTGGAGTTCCCACAGGTAATCTGGGGTTCAGAACAAGATCTGTCTAATACCTCCCTTGTGTGAGTTCCACTGCACTTAGCTATCTGGATAGCTGCTTACTTCACCTCAGTCTTTTCTGTGACACCCAGGAAAGCTGAGCTAAAACACTTATTTTCCTAGTCCTAGAGCATTTCCCTAGCTTTAGGGTTTCTTCAACTTTTAGAGGCCCCGGGAACAATGGGTTAAAATCTCCTCCCTCTGGAGAGCTAAGTAACCAGAAAGAGGTCATTTGGCCTCCTGTAGGCCCCACATAAGAGTCACATACTGTTCTCAGAAAATCTTTTCTAGAAATCTGCAACTTAGTTCATCCTCCCTAAATTCCTTCCCATGTCCTTGGGTCCAAGCTACTCCTTCCTTCTGGCCCACACTTTTCCTTTACAAACAAGGCTGATCCTCTCCTGCACAGACTTCCCTTTGTTCCTCCCAGCTATTCTTCCGGAAAATGTACTCTTATCTAAATAAATTCTCACCTTTATCTTTACTTTGGTCTTAGTAAATTTTTTTATTATCCACATCGCTAGTCTCTGTAATGCTGTCTCACGTGGTGCTCCCTCCATTCTAAGAAATAGCTTTTCTAATTAAATTTACTCTTAAATCAGACTCTTAAGAATGTCACCTTTTAAAAATATTTTGTGGGGGAAACTTTTGCTTTCCTATTTTGTATTACCAGCTACAAGAGATGATTTTCTGAGGCTAGAAGTTGAAGGAAGGATATAGGCAGTCTAAAAAATAGGGCACTCTGGGCTTCAGCCAATGGTGGGGTCACAGAACAAATTCAACTAAGAGGGACTTAAAGAAACATCATAAGAATCCTCAAAAAAAATCCTCAAGAAACTTCTGAAACCATAAAGTTTTAAACGTAGGTAAAGTCAATAAAAGAATGGCTCATATTAGGGAAGACAGAAGTTCATTGTATGACAATTTTGAGATTAAAGTAGGCTACTTACACTAAAAGTGATTAGAAGCCACACAGACAACTTGAACCCTTAACGTTAGAGAGAATGGGGATCCACAGAGTGGAATAACTTGCTAGAGTTCACACAGCTCAGTGGGGGACTTTTGCCTCCCAGTCCAATGTTCCTTATGCTGTGCCACTGAAGGGGCAAACTGCAGAGGGAAATGAAGCTTGGCTCACATTGTACAGTAGGGGACAAAAGTCGCATTGCAAGAGGAAGTTACCAAGTGGAGCCTACAGCACCTGACTTGGTTATTAGTGCTTCTCTCGATCATCAGCATGATGACCACAACCTACAGCTGTCAGCCCAGCACTCTTCTCTGCTATGAAGTGCTGTGTCCTCAGCTGGGCTGAGTGGTTGAATTATACCAGGAGATGTGGACATGGAAGCTTAGAGATGCTGAACAGAGTCCTGTTGTGGAGTTTATTTATACTAAGGAGAGCTCGGCCATAGTTCTCAAATGCTGAGTCCCAGCTCCAGGTTGCAGTGTGAATTCCCTCCCATTCAGTCTGTCCTGCTGGTGGATGTAGCATTGCCCTGTTTCATGCCCAAAGTCCCTGTCCTTTCTCCTCCTCTGCCTTTGACTCCCATCAGGCCTAGAAGAAGCTACAAGGGAGGCGTATGACAGGCTTGAAGATACTTTTATTGGGAAGGAGAGGGACTAGCCCAGACATAGGCTTAGGAAAGAGGGAAAATAAATAGGTAGTGATTGGGACGTGCTCCCAACATAGCAGGGAAGGTACCATTGGCTACAGCACCTGGACCTGTTCATCCTCTTGCTGAGTGAGCTGGGCTGTGTGGTTTGCTGAGAAATGGGGAGCTGGAAAAGGAGTTCTCAGGATTCTAAAGTGTGTCAAATACTCCTTCTTGAAAGGCGAGTTCCTTGGTCTTGTAGGTCTCTGAGCAAGTGTCTAAGGGCTTATCTAATGGAGGAAAAGAATTCAGATGGCCTGGTGCCAGTCGTGGGAGTCCCAGACAGCATGCCACCAGTCCAGTTGGAGTCTCAAGACACACCTGAATGTAAGAAGACAAACCCTGGAGGACTATCTTGTGCCCAGTACCTGCTGCACTCAGTTCCACCCAGGGCTTGGCCTTCCGGCTTGTCGCCTAGCACTCGTACTCCCACTCGGGTAGGACCAGACCCTCCCAGGGGTAGTCAAGACCCCAGGATGTTCTCACCCCTAGTGTCCTTCTGACAGCCTCCAGCCGGGCCATAATCCGTGGGGCCTCCTGGGGACACAGCATCTGCAGCTCCCCAGGTCTCATGCGAAGGAGTTGGCTTCCCATCATGGACCCAAGGGTCTTCACGGTGCTTTGAACAAAAAATAGCAGAAATCACCAGTGGTGAATGGGAAAATGCTGGGCTCAGGTATTTGGATAGAGAAGGAGCTTTTGAGGCTTGGAAGTTGGGGTTACAGGAATATTCATGGAATAGGGTATCTGAAAGGTCAGAAATAAGCTAATTGTTTTGGTTATTCCAGGACTCCATGATTGGAGAAAGTACTCTGGAAGAGAATGTTCTGGTAGGAAGGGGTGACTGATATAGCAGCCAAGATTTTTCCCAAGTTCACTACTCTGATCCTTGTTTCCTTCACAATGCAGGGACTCCCCAACGGATGACCCAGTCAAGGTTTAGGCACCCCTCCCTTTCTCTCCTTTTAATCAGCAGAGACAGCCTTGGATGGGGTTGTCATGGCCATTGGAGGCTGGGTTGCACGTTCTGGATCTTTAGGTTTTAGTGACTACAATCTGAGCCCTTTACAAGGCTCTCCATTAACACCCCATGGGGCTGGGCACTCACACAGTGGAGAAGTTCTCTGCCTGCAGCCAGGCTGTGACCTCCTCAGGCCTTGAGCTAAGTCGAAGCATTGGCGCCTAGAATGGGAGTGGGGTGGGGGAGTCAGAGGCCATCTCATCTCACAGGTGCACACAGCTCCCAATATTAAGGTCCATTTTCTGGGGACCCCTCAAATCACTTATCTTACTCCATGATTCTCTGGTCTAGTAGTGACCTTGTCTTTTTCTCTGCTCTGGCCATAAGACAAACTTGGCACCCAGTAAACATACAATAATACCGATTAAATCAAGCCAAGGCTGTCTCCTCCACTTGTCTTTAAATCCTCCCCACCCTCATCTCTGACCCATGATTTATGGCTTCTGGACAGCCCAGGCTGTGTAGTACCCGATGGAATGACTGGCCCTGGCTCCCAGGGGCCCCCAACTGCAGGGGCTCCAGGATGTTGCTGGGAATGTAGCCACTCTGTCCCGCCTCATTCTTCACCAGCCACCACCGCTTGCTCTGGTCCAGAACCTGCCACGAGTCAACGTGTCAGTCACCCCCAGCTTGTCTGACCAGCCTTCCCTCCCCCACAGAAAGCCCCTGTCCTTGGGCTTTTCTCATTTTCCTTCTCCCTCTTTTGGCCACATCCCCTCCCCCCCGGCATGTTCACACTCTCCACTCCAGGCAGCTCCCACCAACCACTGCCTCCTTTTCTAGCCTCAAGGCCAGACCTCACCTCCAGCACCTCTCCCTGGACCACAGTCAGTTCCTGTGGGTTCCTTGCTTCAAACTCATATAGGACTTGCATTTTCAGAGTTGGCTTGACTGGTTTGGGGCTGGAGGGCTGGTGGTTGGGGTCCTCAGGCCGAAGGCCATGGCTATATATTTCGTCCTCAGAAAAGTGCGGGGTGCTATTTAATCTAGAAGGTCTTCAGGGAGAAACAGACAGGAAGGCCGGAGAACGTGCCTCAGAAACAGCCCAGCCCCAGCCCAGGAGCCCCAGATGTCCCCTGACTGCCATCTAGTGGTGACTGTTTGGTTTCCTTACAGGGTAGGGGCAGCAGTGTTTGGTGTTTGGGGTGGAGGTTTGCAGATAGGAGGGCTCTGTGGACATTTCCAGCAGTGGAACTTTCTATGTCTGAGCTCTGGTTTGAATGTTTCCTGTTGGAGCACTGGGAAATCAGAGGCATGTGTGAGCAGTACCATGAAAAGAAGGGATTGGAGCCTAGGAAGGTACAAAACGGATCACACAATATAGGGGAGGGGTGCTTTGCACATGTCTGTATATCTGGCTAAAAGAGATCGCAGAGTTTCTGAGATGTACATCTCCAGAGGTCCAGAGGCTAGGCCCTCTCCCTCCCTCCCTCCCTCCCTATGACTGCACAGTCTTTGCTAGGCTCAGGGCATACCGCAGGGAAGTAGAGTCCTCATATCCTATGGGTGCCTGTAAGGGACAGAACAGAGAGGGAGTGAGAACAAGAGGCCCTCAGCCTGGTGAGAGGGAATAGGCTATCAGAGTACATCCCTACTCCCAGGCAGCTGCCTCCTGTCCCTTTCCTATTGCTCTCACAGAAACAGACACAGGTACTCACAACCGCCCACCACTTAGTTGTCATGTAACAATGGTTTGGACTGGGAAGGCAGAAACTAGTCAGAGACCGGGGCTTTGAGTGGGGCTCTGTGCCAAGCGTCTCTTACCTGGGAAAAGGGGTCTGTAGGCTGCCAGCCATCAGAGAATGTGGGTTGGTAGGGTGGGGGCTCATTGCCTGTCCAGTCAACCCTAAGGGGAGAACAAAGCTGAGTTCGTACTACTTTGTGCCTCAGGGATCTTCTAGCTAATAGGAACACGGTCCATGCTCACAGATGAAAGGCTGAAGAACACCCACATGGGAGCAGTTTAGCATGAACGAACCCCCTGGTGCAGGCGTCTGTGATCCTACTTCACCTCGGTCCACAAAGCACAGATACATTACCTTCCTGGGAACACAGTGGCCACTTCGTTACCCAGATTGGGGGGTTAGAATTAACTAACTAGGAGTAGAACCCAGAGTGTTAGGGCTGGAAGACCCCTTGGGGTCTGAGGCAGTATATTTTGTCTACCCTGTTGGCAGTGTTCCAGCATCTGATCTCTTTCTTTCCAGCTCCAGTATGGGACTGTTCCGTATGAGAAACATCACCGCAGGATGCTCTGGTTGGCCGTAGAATGGGGCTGGTACTTGCCTCTCACCCTCCTCCTTGCCCACCCGCAAGGCCTGGGAAGGGCTCTGCCACTTGTGGCCTGCAGGCTTGTAATGCTTGGATAGTTCTCCCTCCAGCCACCTCCTCGAGGAACTCCTGCTCCCTGACTCACTCATGCAGAGGTCAGTGTTCCTCTGAACTTGGTAAATCACTGGCTCACCGTTGCTCTCAGGCTTTATTGCACACGTTTCCTACCTGTCCATCTTACTCTGAGAAGTGACTGCACTCCTTCAGGACTGTCTCCCTAGTACTGAGGCAGGTACACAGGCAGCAGCAATAAATGTTTATTCCGAGGGAACAAAGAAAATGTTCCCTCTTCTCAGCCTTCTTCACTGATGCCTTCTCTTCACCTTAGAAACATGCTCCGACCTTCCCTCGACTCGGTTATGTTTCCTTCTAATCTGTCACTGTAAGGCCTTCTCCTTACCAAACGTCCCGTGAATGTGCTTATATACCCTGCCTACGCTTCCTTGCCTTTGCTTCTGTCATTTTTCCTGCAGCCTGATTTCTACCCCTGCCCTTTTCTTTATTAAGCAAGCCCATGATAATCTCCTGATTGTTGAGTCTGGTGGCCTTGTATATTCTCTGTCCTTCTCCATTACCACGGCATTTAGTGTTACTTATAACTTTGGGTCAGGATTGCAAGTTTGGGTCCAGCCTGGGCACCTCAGCAACTTAATGGGATCCTGTCTCATATATATGTTTTCCTAAGGTCTCAAACTCTTGAAGGAAGGCTGAATTTTGGAACACAAAATGATATATTTGACGTGATTACTCAGTGTTAAAGTGGCTGAATAAATATTTGAGGCTTTTTTATTTGAGTCCACCACAGAGCCTCTGTTTCCCTCCCGTGCCAGTGCAAGGCACTTGCCATGGCTGTCCCCAAAGATAAGGTGATCCCAGCAAAACTGCAGGAGCCGGTGGCCTGGAGACCGGCTAACATAGTGTTCTGAGCAACTGACCACTGCTGTGAGGTGGGCTGGTCCACTCTAGGGTTGATCAATTATTTCATTTAGTGATTAGATCAAGACAGCACATTAAAAAGAGGTTATGTGGGATATAAACAATTCAAGCGTCCATTGACGAAGGGATAAGCATACAATAGAATCTTATTCAGCCATGACAAGGAAGGAAATTCTGAGACATGCGACAACATGGATGAACTTGATGACATGCTGAGCGACATGAGTCAGTCAGAAAAGGAGAAACAACGTCTGATTCCACTTATACAAAGTATCTAAAATAGCCAAATTTATGGAGACAACAGGAAAGTGGTAACCAGGGGCTGGGGAGAGGGTGAATGAGGATTATTGTTTAATGAGCGCAAATTTTTTGTTTGGGATGATGAAAAAGTTCTGGAAACAGATACTGATGTTGGTTCTACAACTTTGCTAGTGATCTTCACACTACCGAATTATATACTTAAAATGACTAAGATGGTAAATTTTATGTATATTCTACCACAATAAAAATAGATTGTATATCGAACTAAGTCATGTCTTTAAACAAAGTAGATGAAAACTCCTTTAAATGGACTGAATTGAAAAGAACTAATCATTAGGCAAAAGACTCGCTAGAAAAGCTGGCTTATTTCTCTGTTGACTCTGTCTTTCTAAAACCCTCTGCTGTCTTTGTTTTCATCCCTTTGCCCTTTGCTCTTTTTTTTTTTCATATGGGGTCACTAAATCACCCAGACTTAGCTCAAACTTGCAATCCTCCTGCCTCAGCCTCGCAGAGCACTGAGATTACAGGCATTTACTAACCATGTCAGGTACCCTTTGCTTCTTGATCCTTTTTCCATTTGCCACCTCTATGTGACAGTTTCCTGAGGCCCTGCCCTTTTCCCTCATGGAAGGTACAACTATATTCGCTTAAGCAATTTCTGGGGTGGCCACTGGAGTGCCACTCTGCTCACACTGTGGCCCCAGCTGTCACTTCCATCCTCACTGTGCTACCACACAGCCGGGTAGTCCTCTCATCCAGAGGCCTGGCCCGCAGCCTCTGTGCTGGTTCTGCTCATCCCATGGTCAGCGAATCCAAGCCAGTCTCATCCCCGCTCACTGGAGCTCTCATCTGTTATCTTCCTGGCCAGTGGCCCACGTCAGTTACACCAGCTCTGGGGTTTGGGGTCTTGCTAACAGTTAGCTGGCTGCCGTGCTTTGATATTACATTTGCTGAACCTCTTAAGCCAGTAAATCTTAAGTTCTGAGCTGGGTTTTCACTTTATCCTTGAAAAAATTAAGAACTATTTTAGCAGAAGTTTTACGTCTCTCCTTTCTCGGGAAGTATTTTTTTGTCTAAAGATAATTCCTTCGTTCAGTTGTGGGTAGAATTGAGGTATTTTTATTTTGTTTTGTTTTAAACTGATCCCAAATGAAAAGTTGAGTATAGTCTCCCAAATTGTTTTGAAAAATTTCTGACTAGTTATAACATAGTGCCTGGACACGCCTCAAGCCTTGCTCTGGCCCCCACGTTCCTCACCCCTGGTTCAGTTCAGGCCTTGTTTTCACTTACAGGCTGGTGGTCCAGGCTCTGCCCAGCCCCTTCCAGAGGTTACTCTCAAATGGGCTTAGACAGGACTGCAGCAGGTCGACAGCTTTGGGGGTGAGGAGAGGTGAGATCACTTGAGCCACAAGACCATCTTCAGGGCACTGGGTTAGGATCTGGGGTGGGGGAACGGAAGGCATTAGGAAGACTGGGCCAGATAGGGTAAGAAGGGATCCAGAGTCCCCAACTCTGCTACAATGCTACCAGCGTGTCTCCCTTAGAGCACCGGAGTCCTTGGCTCTGGCCCCAGCCCATGGACTCTGTTAGTGGGTACTGTGCACCACAGGGTTGGTGTCTTAGAGGACAAGAGGGAAGGTGTGATGGGTTAAGCAAGGGGAAGACCCCACAGCTCCCCTCTTCCCTCTGACCCCTTTCCCAACCTCTGATCTTTCCCATGCTCTTTCTTGACCTCTGCCTGCCCCTTTCCACACTCCGTCCATCCCTTACTTACAAAGTTCAGTGTTTGGAAGAGAATATGCACGAACTCAGGGGCACTTGTCTCCTGAAGCCTGAGGGCCAGCTTCCCCTGAAAACATAAGGCAATGTCTGTCACCACCTTTTACCCTACGACATCTTCACCAGGACCCCAGCACCCTACAATTCTTTTGTGCCTTGGCTGGGAAACTGGCCCTCTCCAAAAATAGCAGGAGGAGGAGAAGCTAGATAAGGGGAAGCCTTGGGAAGGTCAGAGAAGCAGGGGGCTGTTGGGGAAAGATGACTAGGGACTTGCAGGGAGACACAGACCAGGAGGTTAAGGCTGTACTTGATCTTCTGAAAGCAGTCAATGTACTGTTCCCGTGTTATCCCTGTGAGAGAAGAGGTGAGGGCAGGGTCACAGATCATCCCAAGACAGCCCACCTCTCTCTCATGGCCCTTAGCACTCACCCCCTTGAGTCTTGTTCTTCTTTTTTCCAAGTTTCTTCTTCTTCTTATGGCTGGCCTTTCCCTGAACCTCCTGCAGCCTTCCTGTGAACAGCTCGATGTCCTTTAGAACATGGTTCAGCACCTCCTGTGCCCCAAAACCCATGGCCTTGAGTGGGCAGTTAGGGTCACCCTGGAACTCCTGACCCCGCCTCTGCCCTCTACCTACCACAGACCCCCACTTCAGACCCAGCCTTGGGTCTGAACAAGCTGGCCCGTCCCTCCTCAGCCCAAGCTTTCCCTGGCCACTCTGGGGCTCTAGTCTTCTTGGAGGAATGAGAGGGTTCCTGTCTTCCTTTACTCCACGTTCAGAAAGCCTCAGCAAGCCTGAGAACCTCTGTAGTTACCTCATCCCTTCCGGGGTGCTCAGGGGATGGTGACCGCCTTGGAGGAGACAGAGCGAAGGCACTTGGTTCTTGGGCACTAGGGTAGTGTGGCAGAGGCTTCGGGGATGGTGGGAAGCCTGTAATATAAGGGGACCATGGGCCTAGAGCTGCGTTGACTTTTGATCTAAACTTTTTTCTCCTCCTGCCCACAAATCCCAAACTTACTGTGCTCCGGAGTCATTCGGTGGGGCTGTTCTGGAGGGGATCCCCGCTCTGAAGGGGGTGTCTGCTCCATAGGCAGTGACCTTTCCAGAGAGGGTCCCTTCCATTTTTCCTGGCCTGAGTAAAGGCTCCCAAATCGAGGTCTCCTGAGGACAGGGTGAAGGAGGTCTTTGAAGAGGTTCTTGGGACAGATAACCCTTTCCCCTGCTACCTGCTCTACATCTGGATCTTTTCAGACTCCTCTCTGCCTCATCTGCCTGGTCTCCAGGTCCTCTTGGGTTCCAGGGACCTAAGGAGTCTCCAGGCATAGTCTTCAGTGCCTTGTGGGTCCAGTTCCTTCCCCATGCCCAATCTCTGCCCTGGGTTTTCCTCAGTCCTAGGCCTGATCGACTGTGCTTGAGGCTCCTAGGTTCCCCTAGTGGAGGCTAGGGTCTGACTCCCTGAGGCCTGTGCTATGAGGCTTCACATGTGGCTGGGCAAAGGCTGCCTACCTTTGCTCCAACTCCTCCTCCAGGGCCTTCTGCAGGCTGGTCCTCATTCCCTGTGCCTAGAGGAAACAGCAGTCAGGCAGGTTGTGTGCATGTGTGTACATGTACATGTACATGGGCGTGTACGTATGTGTATGGTGGTGGTCATCAAACCCTAACCCTGGCCACTCACCCCCACCTCCTGGCACTGGAAGAGCAGAGTGCTGGTGCCGGGCAGGCCAGACTCCTGCACAGTGATGGACAAGACAGAGTTGTAGGAACAGGTGTTGAGAGCCACATCCATGGCCTTAATGTTATCCAGGCGGTAAGAGTCCAGCTCCTCCTGTGTCAAGCAGAAAGATTAACTGTGAGGCCACTGAGAGCCAGGCTTAGGCTCTGGGAGCTCTTGATGTGGTTGCCTTGGTCCTCTGGTGTCCTTGGATGGGGTGCCATCTACCCTGACTCTTGTGCCCATCTCCAGCCCTTATCCCCTGTTCTTTTCTTGGCCTGGGTGTGTGTGGTATATCCGGAGGGGTGCTGTTGTTTTGGTCATGGAGGAGCGGAGTAGAGGAGCCTGGGTTGCATATGGCCCACCACTGGGTTTCATGGGAGGGCTGACCTTGGTCTCAATGTCCAGCAGCTGGAGCCAGCCATCTCTGACCTGCAGGATCAGGTCTTGGCTCCACACCCGGCCTTGTGCATCCAACTCCTGCAGCTTCTGCAGGACGTCCTTTGGCTCTTGGATTCTCTGTGTCCCCAGCTTACATGTCATCAGGTGCTAAAGGTAGAAGAGGCCAGAGAGGGAGAAGCTTTGGAGGAGCGTCAAGTGTGGAAAGCCAGGGGGAAAAAATGGCAGAGAAGGAACGCGTGTCCTTGGTCCCCTTATGGGGAGGTCCCGGGCTCCCAGTGGAGCACCCTTCAAGGGCAGAGTGAGGGCCAGTGTAGAAAGAGTTGGGCTAAGGATGGGGTCTCCATACTTGCAGCTCCTAAAAGCGGGTGTTTGAACTCCTACGTGGGTATGGAACTCTCAGATCTGTCCCTGGCTTTCTTTGCTTCCTTTGGAAGCTGACCCCCTCAGCCTGGTTTTCCTCCTCACTGACCCAGTATTCCAGTCTCCCCCCACACCTAGAAATCACTTCTGGCAATCCACTTCCTTAGGTTTCTCCAGAAGATCAGAAGAATTAGAAGATCTTCTAATTCTTCCTCAGAGATCACAGTGATCTGTCTCAACTCAAATCCTTTGGTGGGTTTTTGCCCTAATCCACCATTCTCTAAGAATCTTTCTTTTTCCCAGCCACATGAGCTGCCCTCTTCCCATCCTGGTTTCCTGTTCTGGGGAGATGCAGTCTGCATTCTGCCATTGGATCCTCTATCCTGGCCTGGGCCAGTTCTCTCCTTACTTTCACACTGCCAGCAGCTCAGGGCATCCTGACACCATTGTTATCCTGATGATGTCTCCTCTTTCCTGCTGGGCTTCAGTGAAGCCAGCTCACAGATGCAACTTCAAAAAGAAGCCAAACACTCCTGGCATCTCCCCAGCCGGATGAGGAGCCCAACCTCCACTGACCTGTGCTCTGTAGAGATGGGTGTGCCAAGTGGTGGGTCAGGAAACAAGTGGGGTTGGGTGGAGTGATTCTAGGTGCCTCCTGGCCTACCCTTCCGCTGCTACCCCTTCAGATCTGGGAACCATGTATCTACCACCTCGACTTTCTTTGAACCTGTTCTGCCAAGCCTCAACCATCCCTCCTCCTCACTTCCTATAATAGGTACTCAGTTAGGTTTCAGGCTATTTGGAACCAAGTTCACCAAAGTTGGCCAGGTGAGGCTGTTGGCTTCCATAGCAGGGCCATGCCTGAGGCATCTGTGTTTTGGCAGAGTAGTGTACACACAGGAACTCTTAGCTTTAGTCAGAAACCACCTGGGGCCCAAAGGTTACTCACCTCCACCCTGTGCTGCAGAAGGGTGGGCTCTGAGGTCAGCCTCTGGGAATATTCTTTCCGGTGCACTGTGGGGTAAAAAAACAGGGACAGGAAGTGCCAGACGGGTGAGAAGATGCTTAGAGGACTGTAGGAGTGGTCAGTGTGAGGAGGGAGAGGACAGAAGATTGGGGAGCAGGCTGGGAGTTCATCTTAGCCAAGAGTTGAGTGAGCAGAGGAGAAGAGGGTTGGGTAAGCTTACAGTAAATGGCTCTGCTGCTGGGCCGGGACATGTTGACGCTGAGTGCAGCTCCCTAAAACCCCAAGAGAACCAGAGACAGCCATCAGAGATAGGAAGATGAGCACCAGGCACAACAGACAGAAAGCTGCTATTGCTTCCACCTGGTGCCTTTGGGACCAGACTCAAAGGCCCTGGTTCCAGGGACCCTTTCTGGAGCCATCTACAGGCAGGGACCTCCTCCAGAGAGTCTTCATCTTATTTGTACCTAGAGGCCCTGAGCTAGGGATGGAAAGTCCTGGAAGGCCACAGCTCAGCTGGACCCCAGAGCAGACCATGGGGCTCCCATTATTTGGATCTGTGACCATATCCTACCCATGGGCCTGGCTGTGAAAGATGCCAGATGAATGAGCTGTGCCACTTCTGTAGGGAAGACAGAAGGCTCAGTATCCTGTCCTGCCTGAGCAGGCCTTCTCCAGCCCTACTTCAATTTTGCAAGCAGGAGGGAAGCTGATGCTAGCCCTGAGCTGGGGAAAATCCCAGGAGGAGGTGTGCATTCACTTGCGGGTGAATGAAGCCTCTATAGAGCTTGTTGGTGATTTGAATTTCCCCAAGTGTCTGAAAATCTCCCTGTCTCTCTCTCTCCGCCTTCCCTGACTCCATATTCTTTCCCAGAGACACTCTCTCTCCCTCAACCTTTGAAATCCAGCTCATGAATCTCCTCCCTGGTAAAGCTCTCCTTGGCCACTACCCTGCCCATAGTGCCCTCTGAATGCCTCTCTGAGCCTTGTGCATTCCTCTCTGACAGCAGCAGTCAAGCAGCCCCCATGTCCAGTACTGTGAGATACTTTTAAGCCCCTCATGCACGCAATCTGTCCAGTCTGTACCATCTCCCATTTGTACAAAACACTATTCTATGGCTTTTACCTTCTTCAATTATTTTAATCATCAAAACAAATTTCATGAGGTGAGTACTGTTATTATCCTCACTTATTAGATGTCTAGGCCTCTGACACTCAAAGAGGGCAATATGCCTGAAGTCACAGTGATTATTGTTTTTCTTTTTTTTTTTGGTTTTTTTTTTTTTGGTTTAATTCATTTAACTGGAATTCTGTGTACTGACTACCATTTTGATAAATCTTTTCCCTGTGGTGATTTAGAGGGTCTTCAAGCTCACATAAATATTTGCCATTTGGGTACACACCTTCACAATACGTCACATCTTTCAGCAAGAAAACACTGAGTAAAGACCTGACACCATTGACTAGGTACAATGAGAATCTGCTCCAAATATTTGTTTCTCTGAGGTAAACTCACCACATACCTATTCAATTAAGCAAACCATCCTTAAAATACAGGATTTTTTTTTTTAAGTAGGGCCTAGAAAGATTAGCACTAATTAGGCACTGAATGGCAGAGATACACCCCCAGCTTATGCCATGAATTCATAGGGGATGGGCTCCAACAACACAGGCTCCTTTCATGGGTTCTCACAGAGCATGCTTCTCTGGGAAGGGCAGGCTGGCTTCAGTTAAACCCAGGTACCTTTCTCTTTGGCTTCCGTCTTTTTTCTAATCATCTTCCTTGACACATTTCAGGAAGCTATCTCAATGCTTTCAGTGTTTGTACAATCCTCTTGGCAAGTATCTTTTGTTTTTCATTGAGTTTATTGGTACTTTTTAGGTATACAGTACAGTTACACTCATCATTGGGATCTTGTACCTTTACATGACAGGTCTTGGCTCTCAGTCTTTCCCCATTGCCTTTAAACTGCTTGTTTACAACAATGCCAACTGCATGCTGGGTAACACTGTAGACTCCTCCAGTTTTACCACAGTAACATTTGTGTGGCATTCCCCTGATGTCTAACAATATTGCCCATTTTTTTAGATTCACATGTGTGTGGCCAAAGAAACAATCCCATGTTTTCTTTTTGTTGTTGTTGGGGTTTTTTTTTTTGTTTGTTTGTTTTTTTAGACAGGGTCTCACTATGTAGTGAGACTGACCTGAAACTCACTATGTAGCCCAGGCTGGTCTCAAACTCACAGTGATCCTCCTGCCTCAGCCTCCTGACCGCTGGGATTATAGGCATACGCCACCACACCCAGCTAATCCCATGTTTCCTAAAAGGCCTAGAGAACATACATCAGGTTCCCCTCCTATTTTCTTTTGGGTTCATCATTTTGGCCAATTAGTGGAAGATGGAGGTTCCAGCCAAAAGGCACCAGTGATCACTTAATAGAGAATGAACCCATATCTGTCTGCCTGCACACACTGTGTTTTAATTATATATAAATGTACCCCTATCCTTGGGCAGCAGGCTGGCATTGAGTGGGTCTAGAGCATTTGTCTATTGAAATGGAATGGAATGAAATGTGGTGTGTGGGGGGGTGGGGGGTGGAGTGGGTGTTAGTCATGCAGCTGAGTCAGGGGTATGTGTTATCTGAGTGAGGAATGTGTGCATCATGAACTGGTGTTGGTTTGTGGGTCTCCATACCTTTCCATGGTGCACCTGATGTATAGGACTCTGGAATATTCTGGGCAAAGTGTAAGACAGCACCCACACCCATTTATTAGGACTGTTATGAATATACTTACAGAGGATCTGATAAGACTCAGTGATTGGGGAAATGAATCTCCAGTAAACATTATGGTATTTTACAGAGCAGGAGGCTGGACCCGTTTCCTTGTTTGAGAGGACCCCTTTCCTCTCCAAGGAGGAGTCTTGGAAGCCTGTTCCCACCCCTCACCCCCATCCCAGTGTGAGTGTGACACTCACTTCCTGATTCTAGACGCGGAAGAGCCGTGTCCCCCCCACCCCTCCCCGACCCCAATTTCCGGCCACTAGGGTAGTCTCTGTGGATCCTTGTGGGTCTAAGGGGAAAGACCTGCTGCCAAAGACCCCAGGAAGGAAAGCTGATTTTGGCCCACCTACCCCCTTGGAGTGTGGGAAGCTGTGGTAGCCCTGTTCTCCCATTTGTCTCCCAAAGCTAGGAGCTTGAAGCGGGAAGGGGTATCTGTATCACAGACACTGGAGCAACTATCCCAGAGCCACGTCGTCTGGAGCCCCTTGCTCAGCTTCCTAGCCCACCAACCAGAAGCGGAGAAGAACCTCCCTGGGGTTACACTGGAGAGGCCCTGGGCTGGGAAGCCACTGCGTCACCACCACTCACCCTGGGATCCCCTGCAGCAGGGCCAGGCCCTGATCCGATAGGTGCTTACCTGGATGCCAATGTGGCCTGGTAGCTGAATCCCCGAGGGGGCTCAAGTTTGATCCAGTGGTCAGGTGCTGGTGGTGGAAAGGCAGTGGCTTTCTGTTTGCTGCCTTAAGAAAGCCCTGCTGGCAAGTAGGTGGCCCTGGGTGAGCAGGCAGTGCCTGTGGTGATGAGGCTCGAGAGACAGCCACACCTGTGCTCTTTGGACTCTGGTAGGTGGAGAAGCTTCCCGAGCCACCACCCACCCTACACTGAACTGGACAGGAAGTACCTGTTCTAACTGATTCCTTGAGCTTAGCCAGAGACCCTTGCTTTCCAGATTCCTCTTGGCTGGCCTCTGACCTTAGGTGTGACCATTCTCAGCCCTCTGTCTCTTGGGTACCATCTCTGGGGCCCCTGGTCATTATCAGGCATTGAGGCTGGGAGCAGAAAGAAGGGGCATCTGTGGTGTAGAGTCTGGGTTCTGTGACCAGGGAGGGGACAGGTCAGCCGGAGGCAGACTCCGGGGATGGGGGAAGCTGTGGACTGGCACATGTTCTGTGTGTACATGGGTGCTGCACCTATGGACATGTGATCATGTGTACGCAGGTGGTATATGTGAGTAGGACATAGACCTGTCAGAGAAACGGGAGATGGAGGCATGCGACTACCATGGCCATCCTTGGAAGGCTGAGATTTCCCTTCAGCAGGGTTCAACTTGTTCTCTCCTTTCTTCTGTTCCCTTTCATCCAGCAAGGAGCCCTCTCACCCACTCATTCCTGTCCATGCTCTTCCAATCTCTCTTTTGTCCTCCACCCCACTCCTCTCTCCCAGAGCCCTAGTGAATACCTGGCTGGCTTCAGCAAAGATGGGAAGTTGAGGTTTCCTTCTATTCATTTTCAAGAACCTACCCTGTCACTGTACTGTTTTATTTAAACACCTCCCTTGGCAACCTAAGCAGGCCACACTCTGTCTTCTGGGAACTCATAGCACAGTGAGGGAGGCTAGGTATAAACAGAAATCAGAGGAGAAAAGCAGGAGGGCAGGGGTCAGAAGGGAAACATCAGTGTAGGAACTGACCCACATGAGGCCGAAGATCAGGCCCTGCTGGGGTTTGGATCTGTGACGAGAACGCCATAGAGTCCAGGACTGCTGATTGCAACCTGCACTGCCATCTTTGGCTTCTGAGGGACAAGTCCAGGAGGTCTGCCCCTCCTCCCCGCAGCCGACACTGCCCTGGTGGCCTGGAGTTCAGGGATTGGAGCCTAGTGAGGGGCCTCCCCAACCTGGGCTGGTGTGGGCCCCTGGGAAAGTCCATTATGCAGCCAAATTCTAGGCTCCAAGGGTCAGGTGCCTCTTGTGCCAACACTGATTTATGATCCTCTGGGAATAGGCCCTCCTGACCTCCATGGCTGTCTTGATCCCTGGGCCTCTTGGCCTTCCTTTGTTTTTTAAAAATACTACATCCAAAGAATTTGAAATGTTTAATTGCAGAAGGACATCATTCTTACCTTTATCTTTAATTTTTGAAAATGTAAAATGTAAAAGTTTTATCAGTAATAGTGAAAGCAGCCCACTTATTATAACTTTAAGTGCAAAATATACCTAACAAATGTTTTACATTCCAGTGAAGCTGAAAGAGGAGTCGAGGACATGACTCTGTACCGAGAACTTCAGATGCTACTGCCCCAGTGTTTCTATGGACCTAAGGAAATAACTGAAACATCAAAGCTTCCTTTTAATGTCTGAGAATATGTGTTGAACACAGAAGTGCAACCCTGCTAAGGATTTGAGTCCTTTATAATTCACCCTAAGATCTAATGTAAGACTTTATCTTTTTCATGTAAGGCATCTGTTTAAAACAGCATTCATAATTTTATGGGCTACATAAATATAAACAAGGCAATGGCTACTGGCAAAATAGTTCACATAACTGGAGATCACACGTATGTTTGCTGATGATTTTGGCTACAATCTTCTTGCAGCCCCTGCTCACAAGTCTCAGCCCTATCCTTATCGAGGACATAGTCCTACTCCTGGCTTGGGTGTCTAGCCAAGACTTCGTTTCTACCCAGCTCAGGCCAGGCTTTGTATTTTCCACAGGCCTTTCCCCAGGTTAATGTGAGTATGGCAGAGACAGGGCTCAAGCCGCTGCTGGGATCCACGTGACATCTTTGGGCAGATAAACTGCCCATGTGTAGTGAAGCTGTCCTTGACAGCTTGCACTCTGCAGTGCCCCTTAGGGGTGCCTAGGAGCGGGTGGACTTCCTCAGATAAAAGCCCTTTGTAGCTTCTTTGGCGCCAGGCACTGGGGAGGTCTGCTGCAGTGAAGTCTCCTCAGGGAAGACAAATGTCAGAAAGGATTGAAAAGCCAGGCCACTTACTCCTGAGGATTTGGTAATTGATGCTTCTGTCCAAGGAAAACTGCATGTGTCAAAGCAATCCTGCTGAGGCGTAAGGAGCTGGGACTTCCAGAGGAGGAGAAAGAACTGGGACTTAGGGAGTAGCTCCCTGAAATTGGGAGGTTACAAAGGCTGGGGGATCTCATTCATTCCTCAGCTTCTTGTGGAATCCAAGCCCCACTGCCTGCCAGGTACTGTGGTGGGTGCTGGGACACACCTGGAGGGTCACAGGTACCTCAGAACCTCAAAACAACTCAAATCCTCCTCCAATGTTCCCATCTCACTGAAGGCACCAGTGCCCAACTGTATGTTCTAGTGGGGGCTGGAGCCATCCCAAAGTCTGCATACCTGATTCATCACCCTCCAGACAGTCCTACCTCCTCAGGAAGGTGGTATACAGAGCCACCCTCCTCTAACACTCTGCTTTCTTTAGGCGTCTTTCCTATTAAATTCCCTGCCTGTTTGTGCAATAGTCACTTCACTCGTCCCCCTGCCTCTGCTCCTGTCTCCCTCTTGATTGTAGCTTCTTTTTCTTTTTATTGAGTTTATTGGTACATTTTAGGTATACAGTACCGTTACATTCATCATTGGGATCTTGTACCTTTACATGACAGATCTTGATTCTCATTTTTCCCCCATACCCATACCCTTGCTTTCCCTTCACCCCCTCCATCCTCCCCTATTTACAAAGATTTTTGTTTCAATTCTTCCTTTTCTAATATTTTTTATTTTCTGTTATTTCCTCTCCCCTCCCCTTCCCACTTGCCCTAAACCTTTAGCCCTTTTCTTCCTATTTCACATTATTAGTTATACAAATTGGATCTTATTTACATTTTTAGTTTTTCACACAAGAGGAACTACTCAGTATTTACACGTGTGTGTCTTATTTATTTCACTTAAGAGTATAGCCTCAATATGCATCCATTCTTTCATTCTTTATGGCTGAGTAGTATTTCATTTTATAGAAAAACCACATCTTCTTTATCCAGTCTTCAATTGATGGGCAACTAGGCATTGCAAGTTTTATCTATTACAAACTCTGCTGCTATAAACATGGATGTGCATATATTGCTGTGGTATGATTCTTTTAACTTTTTTTGAAAGACATCCAGCAGAGGGATAGCTGGGTCAAATGGAACTGCCAATCCTAGTTCTTTGAGGTATCTCCATATTGATTTCAACAGTGGTTGCACCAGTCTGCACTCCCACCAACAATGAAGAAGGGTTCCTTTCTCCCCACAACCCTGCCAACATTTGTTTTTGGATGATTTCTTGATAGCAGCCATTCTTCCTGGGGTGAGGTAGAATCTCAATGTTGTTTTCATCTGTGTCTCTTGGATGACCAGTGATGTTGAACATTTTTTTGTATATTTATTTGCTGCTTTTACTTCTTTGTTGTGGATTCTTCCTTGACTGGAAATTTGATCATCTACTCCTCTGCCTAAAACCCATCACTGATTCCCATTGCTCTCAGGATGAAATCTGACTCCCCATCATGACAAATGAAGTCCTTCATGATCTGCTGCCCTTGATCAGCCTTATCTTTCTCTGCCTCCTACCCCTTGTACTTTACACTCAGCTTGGAGGGCAACTTATAATTCTTGAGTATTTGTGCTTTGGCTAGTCTCCCCCGCCCGGTCTCTATCTCCCTTTCCCCACCAGGGATACCCACTGGAAATACCTACTGTGACCCACATCTTCACATATGCTCTGGTTCCTCTGAAGCCTCTCCACTGCCAAGAGCTGTGGAGAGCATGGCTCTTTGCTTCCAGACATCTGTTACACAAGTCCCTCTATCTTCAGGTCACTATGGGGGGATATCTCCATCCCTGAACTTCCTTGAGGACCCAGATGCTTTTTGCAGCATTATTTAAAACAGTAGAACTTCTAAACACATGTGTAGAGAAGCAACAGCAGCAGCAGCCTGCTTTTATCCCTTCCAGGCTACCCTCCCTTTAGGTGGTGCCATCCATACCCAAGGTGAACATTCCCACTATACAAACCCAGAACTATGACAAACCAATCAGTGGGCTAATTTAGTAATCAGACACCCTTAATACCAGTGCCACACACTTAATCCCAGCATCATACCCTAGATCCAGCCACTTTTGAAAAGCCCCACCCAAGTGGAGCTTTGCGGGGACATCTAGACACAAGCCATAACAAATGTCTCAGGCTCATGGAACCAGACCACAGAGCAGGGTCTTGCTGTGCCTCTTACTTGTGGGCTGAACCAGGCAAGGCATACCCTCAATGTCAGGTGGATTCTGGGCCTTGTCTTGTGGCATCCTGGGAGCTGAAGGGGAGCCCCATCCATTATCTTGGCATAGGAGGGCTGGGCATAGGAGGGCAAGTTAGTTCTCTGAGTAAGGCAGGGGACTCAACAACAGAGATTAAAGACTCTCTCCTCTCTCTCTCTCTCTCTCTCTCTCTCTCTCTCTCTCTCTCTCTCTCTGGAGTTTATGCTCCAGAGGTAGAGGAAACTAATCCATATAAAGAAAATCAGAGCTCTGCTAAGTAACATTAAATGGGGGATATGGACAAGAGCATAGGGGTGAGAAGGTGACCTGGATTCATGAATTTGGAGAAGACAACTCTGAGGGAAATACGAGCTGAGACAGAGGGATGGGAAGGGAGCCAGGAAAGGAGAGCAGCAGTGCAAAGGTCTCATGACTGAGAAGGAAGCCAGGGTGGCCAATGTACAATGACTAGGGGCAGAGCTGACATGAGATAAGCAGACTAGAGCGCATGGTCCTGCCAGGAGTTGGCAGTTGGAGAATATTGAGATTTAAGCAGAGGAGTGGCATGGTGTGACCTACATTTTAGACAAGTCTCTCTGTTCCGGGGACAATGCATTATAGTGAAGATGGAGGGAGTTGCCCCAGCGGGACCTATAAAAAGTTGCTGCAGTAATGGCAAAGTATATCAGGGTCTAGAGAGCGGGAAGTCAGTGAAGATGGAGACATGATACAGTGGAAATGGACACTTGCACTGTGGACGGACTAGAGGGTTGTGAGGGGGGGAAGAAAACTTCCAGACAGCTCAGGTTTTGGGCTTAACCATAAGTGGGTTGTGGTGACAGTGAGAAGAAGGTCTGGAAGATGAAGAAGAACGAAGACTTTTAGTTCCACAGAGATGGCTTTGTTATGTTAGAAAAGCAGGAGCAAACTTAAATTGGGAGCTCCACGGAGTAGGATGCTTGTGGCACAACCATCCCAGGCCATGACGTAAAAGACTCTTCAGGAATATGAGAAAAGTTCACAATGTAGACAATGACAGGGGCTTGGCAGTTGTTATATACACAAATTATAACCAGAGGCCAAAGGCTAGATCAGACCACCAGGGAGTGTGTGCACACGAAGAGAAGTGAGCTTGGCCTGAGTCTAAGGCCACACATGTGAGACCGGAAAATCAGGAGCACATGACTGAGGGATTGGGTGGGGGGTGCCAGTGAACTCCAGGAGACCAGGCGGGAGAGTGTTTTAAGAAGGAAGAAGGAGACACCTGAGACAGGTGCTATCAAGAGGGCAGTATCTGTACATGTGGCCCTATGGAAGTCATGGGTGGTCCTGTCACCAATAAGCTGAGGGTTCTTTTGCTCAATTTGGATAGAAATCATGAATAGGCAAAGTGTAGCTATTTTTAGTGTTAACAACCCTGAGTTCAGAATGCCAACAAACATGACTCTTATTGTTAGTAGCTCTCTACCATTCTCCTGACAACCAAAGCCAGAAGGTACCAACAAGCCTTTGGGAACTCTTCCAGTTACCAAAGAAGGAGGCTCCCTGTTACTTTCTGTCATCATTCTCCGGCTGCCGGGTTCCCTCAGTGTTACAAGCCCCAACTGCTGGCCACTTTTGGTGCCTGTGGTCTTTGGTATCACATGCTCTTAAGTATACAAGCTCAGCCTTCTCCATACGGAAATCATGAATAGGCAAAAACATGGCTATTCTTAATGAAGTCATCCAGAAGAGGCTTTATTAGGACTTACGCTGCAGCATAAGGGAGAACAATACAGGGACTGACTCACTAAAGAGAAACTTCTTATAGGGGAATAAAAACATGGGCTTGTACATATGAAGGGCCAGACTTTTTATTTAGTCATGAGTAGGGGAGGATTCTTCATGGGCTTGACCTAAGATGGCTGCAGAGAGGCAGAATTGACCACAGAGACTAAAGAGTAGTTACCTGGGATGGACTCGCAACCAAAGCTTGCTACAGCCAAGGCAAATGTCTCCCAAGGCAGCTGTATAGAGTGAGATGTAGCTGCGGATGGCTATAAGTGTTTAAATAAATAAAAGTACCTCTCGGGAGTGTTGTTTACCTTCTCTCCTGTCTCAGTCCCCTGGAGGTGTGGAGTCAGGAGTGAGACATGGGAGGGGGGATATTTTCAAATATATCGGGGGGAATCATGGTACGTATTTGCTAGTGGAGAGGCCAAGGAGAAGCAGATCTGGACAAGTAATGGAGTTGAATGTAGATGGAGGAGGAGTT